ATTATTTGTGCAAAAAATTAAGGTTAAGTTTAATATGGAATGGTTTAAGTTACGTTAATGATAGTGAACATTTAACTATTACATAATTAAGAACATAATGTATTTGTGCACATACAATAGCAATGGCTCTTTTATGGGCAGATGCTCTTATGAAAAAGTTGTTTTAAAAATAGTGAGTTTTTAGGTGCTTTGCATAATATAGTGCTGATTTTGTCTTATCTATAAGAGCATGCTCAATTAAAAGAGCTTGCTCTAATAAGTGCAGAAATATGGTGTAGTAATGGAAGCATGTTTTTTATTTTGACTTTGTATTTAAAATGAAAAGCCAAAACTTGTCAATATCACTGAATATTTACTGTATTTTTGGGCTGAAATTTGAAAAAAATTGTAGACTTATAAATTTCCACTGTTGTCCGTCTGTCTGTCCTTCCTTAATTTTGAGAATGGAGTTAGATAGATGAAAGTTGAGACCAGATATGGAAAGCTTAAGGGTAGGAGGCCCCGATTAAATTAATAACTATATGCAAACTTCCAATGCAAACCAGAAGTCATGTTATTTCAATTCAAAAATTACCCTTGAAAGGAGTTAGATAATTTCAAGCTTTTACAAAAACATTCTTCAAACTATCATTCAATTTCTGGTAGAGAGAACTCATCTGTGTTATTTCCACAGGATCTGCTTCATATGAGAGGAGATTATGATTAATTTTCTTCAATTGTTAATTTGCTTCTTTTGTTCTGAAGAAGACAATTAGTAATAAACTATCAAAACAAGATGGCAACAAAAATCCAGTGTAATTTGATAAGTGGTCTATATGCATTTTTGAGCCAGTGTATTAACTACTTTCTTGAATATTAGTTTTGTAGTTTACACTGGAGCACTGAGAGTAAATTGTTGATGATTCCTCTATACATTACTGCTATGAGTGTGCTCCTATAAGTGAAGCAGGATGTTTGTTTAAAAAATGTAAAAACACTAATTTTCACTTATATGAGCATGAAAATATAAGTTCTTTAAGTAATGTTAAAATAGAAATTTTTTTTTGTTTGAAAATTCTTAGATTGTTATTTTTTATCTACAGAAAATACTCTATTTATGTTAGCAGATTTATTATAAAAAAACATACAGCATAAATTAATTCAATAAAACTTTTTTAATGGTGAACTATATTAAATTCTGTTATTTCAAAACACTTAAATAGACCTGATTATATTAAATTTTAGAAAAAGTTTAGCAAAGTACAACAATTAAAATAAATAATGGAGTTTTTGTAAAGTTTAAGTGAAAAAAGAAAAATTAATTTGTCTCATAATTAAAAGGTCACCTTTATTTTGAGGCCATTTTTTGTGTGACCTGAAGGCCCTTTAAAGTTCTTTTCACTGTATCTAAAACTCCTTTTTACTATTTTTTTTATTTGATTATTAAATTATAATGAATTAAATATACCTTATCTTAAAAGTGAATAAATTGATTATGTAATTAATTTTGAAATAATATATAATGTTGCATTTGAATCTCATTTATTTATTTTTTAAAGTCCTGGCAGTATGATGCCTGTTGATCAAGCTGGATGTGTAGGATTTACATGTTACTCTTGGTTATCACCACTTATTTGGAGAGTGTTTCGTAAGGGAGTTAATGAAAAAGATATATATCAGTGTTCACCTTATGATGGAACTAGAGTGAATGGTGCAAGGTAATTTCATTTTAACTAAAATTAAAATACATATGTTTAAATATATGAAATAATAATAATCATATCAGTAAAAGAAAGAAACAATATTCCCAATATGATATTTTCTTTGAATTTTTTATTGGATAAAATATTTTTAAAAAGATTCTTTATATTAAAAAATTAACTAATTCTAAAACAAAAATTTTTAGAAACTCTTTGTTGCATTAATTATATTTACAGTATTGCCAAACAGATTATTCAATGAAAATCTTAAACACATTTTTTTTTTGTTTTTAAATTCAATTGTTTTTGATGAGACAAACAAACTAAAGATAGTTTAAATACAAATAAAGTTACTCATATCATCAATTTATGTTTTAAATGTTTGAAGGATTTCTATTATAACTTCATGTCTTTACAAATATAAATATAAACATACACAACAAATGCGATACATAGCAGTTATCCCTTCAACTGCCTTATATCCTGCCATGTGTTTCTTCCAGTTTACTCTAAAATTATTAAATTTAATATGAGATGGTGCCTAATGCCTCCCTGTAGGGCCAAATTTATTAGTAAGTTATATTTATTATTGCCAAATTATAGCCTGTGGATATATAGCAGTTGGAGGGACAAGTCTTTACAAAGCTAATATGGCATAAGAAGGATATTTAGACTTTAATTATGGCACTTTAACATTCAGAAGTCTACCATGGGATAACACTGCTCCCAGCAATTCTCAATTTCATCACAGGCTGATAAAAAGCAATCAAAAATAACTTTCTATGATAATTATGCATAATTATTTAAATTAAATGCCCTCGACAACTAGATGGAACATAATATTTTTAAAAGCTGATCATGTTAACCAAAAAGTGCATTGAATAGTCAGATGCAGATAATATGCAACAAGACCCATTTATAAATATCTACACATCAGCATCTTTCTTATTAATGCATCCAATCATAATGGTTTGCTTATGAATCTTCCTGCAGCATCTCCACCATTCTAGCTTCTTCTTAACAATCTTGGCTTTGTCTCAATAAATGTTGCATTATCATTTCTGCAAGTTAGAAATGATATTCTGATATTTGAATTTAGTGAAATTTTCTGTAGCAAACATTATAATAATTTAACGATTTCATTATTTGAGAAAATATATGTATTGTTCACTATATTCTTATAACTAAAATTATCTGAATTGATGATAAAATTTAGTAATAACATATATTCAAACTTATATGTTTAGAAATCAAGAATAGTTACTCTTAGGTTCTTTTCAGAAATGTTGTCAAAGTCAGGCCTCGGAGTCGCTCACTTTTCTCACTTGTACTCACTTTTCTGAAGTATCCTCACTTTTCTCACTTTTCAGGTCATTTTCTCACTTTTCTCACTTTTTTGATCATTTCTACATGCTTAAAAATTAGGAAGATGTGGGACCAATCAAAAATAGTTTTAAAGCCAGACGATCTGCCGAATTATCGAACTATCGGACTAGATTTTTATGGAAAAAAATACTCCGCCCGAGCGGGACTCAAAATCGCAACTGCTGCTCAGTGTTGTTAAGTTATCGTCTGTATTTATACGTAACTAGGTAGTCAGTAAGGCTGTGTACACACTAGGCGTTTTTAAACGCGCGTTTTAAAGAACCAAGAGTTCTACATAGGCGTACACACTCAAACGCGCGCTTTTG